CTTGAAGGCCTGTGGTACATAGGAATGGGGTCTAAAAGACACATTGATGGTTTGGAGGAAGTAATTATTGAAGTTAACTCAGAAAGATCAATTGGAGAAAAAGAGTCTAACTTAACATCAATGGTACTAAGAGTAGCTGTAGATAATATTACATCTGTGGGATGATTATTGGTAATTTTTATTTGTGAAGAAGTTCATGAAGTCATTACTAGTTAACGTTAAAGGGATGGTTGGCTCAAAAGAGCTCTGACTTTTTGTCAGCCTGGCTAATATTTTATTATGGTGATTAGAGCATGCTCTAGGTATTAAAAATACTGATTTGAATCATATTTACGTAACTCGAATTTGTTAATGATGGAGTTTCATAGCGTTTTATGTTAGGACTCTTTACATTATACATGCCTCTCTTAGGCAGTATCCTTAGAAGGTATAGCGTACCTTTTTTATTAAAAAAAAATTCTGTCCATTAGGCAGATGAAGTGTAAGTTTATCAGTACAGGCAGTCTTAAACACTGTACTTAGGACTGCTGGGTTAGGACTGGTACACCCAGTCTCAGTTGATGTTATAGTTACTTGCATTACCAAAATGCAATGCTGCAGTGAGCAGCAACAAGTATTGTATAATATATTACTTCTTTTGAGTAAGGACCCCAACACTGGTCTTTAACATACAATATAAAGCACCTTGAAGTGAGAGTTATGATTCTGCCCTTTATAATTACCATTGAATTAAACTGAAAAACATTTAAAATCCTTCGCATGACTTTCTATCAACTTTTAGATTTCTTAATACATTGGAAGATAAATTATGAACTACTTGAATTTATGACTTAAAATGAGGGCTGTGGCCTACAACAATGGTCATCACTGTAGTACATGAATGAGTGCACAATAAATGGCATTCCGATTGGAAATAGTTGTACGTAATTTCTGCTTCCATGTTCACGAGGTAAAGTTCAATTATGATCATAGAATACAATAAGCATTAAGTAATGTATTGTATTCACTGCTGATGGAGTTGCATCAACTCCTTCATAAACCTCAAAATTTTAGTGGATTTATCTATGCAAAAGTGATCCATGCAGAGAGAACTGAGAAAATCACTGATAATCAGGATATATTAAAATGCTTCACCTGTCCAGAGTTGACAGCTGAATGCTGGGCAGAGCAAGTGAAGATCACCATGGTGACAAACTTGACCATCTCATCCATAGTGCTAAATTCTTGAGGAATTCCTGACAGAATAGGCAGAATAAATTATGAATTATGTCAACACAGAAATTAAATATAATATAATAAACAATGAACCACCTGTGGTTTCCTGTGAAAGAAATCCATACTGAAAAATTTCTTTAATCCAGTTCTGCAGTTCTGTGTCTTCTTGGACCTCAGCATCAGTCTTGTAGTAGAAGGCAAGTGTTGACTTCACCAACCTTTGGCCAAATGGAGACACATTCAAACATGTTCCTACTTCCATTGATGGTTTCCAAAACACATTATTTAAAAAGCTATAATGCATAACAGATAAAATAAATATAAAATATGTATGTTGGGTAATCAGGTTGTTAGTTTTTAACTGTTGCAAATCGGCAACGCCTGCCTCGAGAGGGTTAAAACCTAAAGAATTATGGATTTAATCAACTGCTCCCGTAACGGAACTGACATCCTCTTCTCGACAAAAAGCCTGGGCTCAGGAGAGCCCAATTGGCCTGCAGAGACGTTTGCTGTGTGATACTCTATGGCCGGTTGTGTTGTGTATTTAGCGACATTATCGATGGAGGACATTGAATGAGATCTACCAATTCGGAACCTCGATAACAGAGTTCTGGGTGATTGGATCTGGCTCGGACCTAGCTTATCGAAGAACAAGAAGCAGCTACAGCTGTTCAAAATCCCACCAGGCTGGCCGACACGATAGACGATGAGTGGAGCTGTACTCAGACTGTGTTTATTGAACGCATATGGGCAAGATCTTGGAGAAGCTCACGGCTCTGCAATAGGAATTGAGAGATTTAGTCACCAGTGACAGACATTAGACCAGCTCTAAAAACTGGATGCAGTTGTTCGCACTAAACACAAACAACCACCATCTTCACTCATGCGGCTATCCCACTGGCAACAGATAGAGACCTGCCAAGGTTGAAGTTGACTGGAACAACAAAATTCTTCACTAATAACTAATGGTGCAATGGATAAAGGTTGATCCGTAATCCGAACTGATCCCAATCCACAGTTCTGTACGCAGGTGATCCGAAGATTCGAAAAAGAAGGAAAAAAAGTGTATGGTTCACGTCGTCAGTCTGTCAAGTGATAATTATGGCCAGTGTTAGTGGTCCAAGTGGAGGAGCAGAGGAGTTTGCGGCATTTAAGCAGCCCTTTGCTGCCCAATCCGACTGGGCTAAAGCTATTACAAAAGCTACTGGAGTGTTTAGCTGCAGACGGGAGGCCGTATTCCCTTGTGCTAAACAAGGGGTTTAAACTATGACGAATGTGCTTGAGCCACGCTATGATATCCCGTTGCGCGTCCACTTCAGTGACAAGATTGTACCCAGGCATTTACGAGCAGGAAAAGTTTAAAATTATGGCTGAACTGTCACAGACATCTTCTGTTGCCCAACTACAAATGGGTGGACCTCCAGGTCAACGGAAAGCTACGTGACTGTGACCACTGATTATATCACAGCGGAGTGGTAGATACAAAGTCCTGTACTGCCTTGTATTGCACCTTAATTTGTTTTTATATAATTGCGTGGAATGAGTCTTGTGTTGAATGTTTTTAATAGGCAAAAAATATTTAACTAAGTTAATAAGAATTTTTTTTTAAAAATTCATTTTTTTCTTTTTTTTGCCGATCTGAAAATTGATCCGATCCGTGACTTGAAACCGTAATCCGATCCGAACCGTGAGATTTTTGATCTGTTGCACCACTACTAATAACAAGATTGTTGTCTGAACTTTCTGTCTGACCTTCAAGGCCACCTGGGTCCACTGGAGACTTGATCTTCTTTCTCCTTCTTTTTTTCTCTTTCTCTCACCCAAACCGATCGCAGCAGATGGCCGCCCCTCCCTGAGCCTGGTTCTGTGGGAGGTTTCTTCCTATTAAAAGGGAGTTTTTCCTTCCCACTGTCGCCAAAGTGCTTGCTCATAGGGGGTCATATGATTGTTGGGCTTTTCTCTGTATCTATTATTGTAGGGTCTGCTGTACAATATAAAGCATGGGGTGAACACGGGATACACTCACACACATACTCGTGTAACGGACACAGACACTGAGTTGTTTTTGTTTTGCTGTCCTTAAACTGCTCTCCTAGTGGAGGTGAGTCTGAGTAGAGTCCTTTTTTTCTCCTCCTGTCCCTGACGTTGTGAATTTTCACTGTTCTTTTTAAATGCTATCTATTCTGACCTGTCTCCGCAATGTGATGTTTGTGTAATATATGTATGGTCAGAAGGGTCAGTTTCACTGCAGGCAACTGCATGTCACAAATAAAGGCTTCATTCATTTATTCTTTCATTTAAAATAATAACTGGGAAGCCATCTGGAAGAATTTTGTTTTTGTTTCGGCAAGCATCTGAAAGTACATTACTAAATTTACCAGGGTGTGAAGAATGGCCTAGGTGAACTTCGAAATAAATTGAAGTTATTCTGTATGTTGTGTCAGACAAAGTGGTAATAGAACCTGTTGATGATTTCCCAAAGCTGGAGTCCATCATCCCTGTAGTAGAAGTTTGGCACATCTTTCAGTCCACGTTCCTCAATATCATCTGGGATACAGAGGGAGCTGTAGGTCAGTGAGGTCAGTGATCTTCTCAGGATTGTGAGGGCACCCTCTCCACCAGAAGATGTAAACTAGGAAACAGTCAAATCTTAGTGGCAAAAAAATACATGTTGGTCAAAAAGAACATTTGTTTGTCCTTTTTGTTTGTTTATACCTTAGCAAAAGTTCCTCCTTTAGATATCAGAAGCATCCGAGCTAAGAAGTTGATGTTCAAAGTGTAGCGAGTGTGAGGTATGAGAAGCTGAGGGAAACAGAGAAGTTCATTTGTAAGAAGACTACTTTTTCCTTTCTTGTCTGATGTTTTATATTCAAATGTTTAATTCTGCTGTATAACATATATGTAAATGGCTAACATCAAAGTCACAAGTTTTGTTGCTTTCTGTACCATTTACCATTGTGTTACATCTTCGAAACAATTAATCAACTTTACATACCTTGTACAGTGGATGCACCATGGGAAGGTTGCGGAGCAGTGACACTGCAAAAACCTCAGCCAGCAGATGAGTGCGCAGCAGATGAGCATTTAGTTCATAAAGGTTGAAGTTTGCACTTCTCACAAACGTCTTGGCCAACAACCAGTCGTACTCAGAATCACTAGGATAAAAAATTGGGTTGTCCTTTGTTGGTTTCTGCTTCAGCTGCAGGAGAAGGAATAAATGTGTTTTCTTACTTATACTACCTTTTTTTAATCATTACAAACTGCTAACCATCAAACACTTTTATAGATGTTGAGCAGACCAACTCAAACACAAACTGCAATGAAAAGCTTTATTTACTGTAAAAATAACGATTAAAGGCGCAGGAAAGAAACAGACCAAGGATCTTTGATAATCCAGGGAGACAGAGAAATGGCAGTTAGTGACTGGAAAGCACATGACTAGGAAAAGATTTGGATACTGAATGAAAGAATTTAAAGGTGAGTAGAGATTATTTGTCAAGTTAAAAAGGTCTTGTGTGAGGAGTTTGAGGAAAGGTGGCTGAGGCAGAGAGGAATAAAGGTAAGAGTAGTGGTGTGTGAGAGGCAGGTGTTCAGGTAAGCAGCATGCAGTGCAGGATTTACGGTGGCAGGACAGTCTGATGAAAGTGGAGAAGGGTTATGGCTGATATTCTTCTGAAAGATCCTGGGAAAACTGGCAAGCTGGAAGGAGGACTGCCGAAAAGCAAAAGTAGAAACTGCAGATTGACACTTTCCCAAAATTCAAGTCACAACAAAACCACCAGAGCAGAGACAACAATCAGGCGTAGGATATCTGCCTCGTTGCTACTTAAATACACTAGGTTGACAGAACCAAATGGCCCTAGTTGTGCCAGAGAAACCATGTACACCACAGTCACACCCAGCTGCCCAACTGTTCCTGAAAAGCAAAACAGAAAGCAGTAGGTAAACCCCATCCACGCTGGATCGTACCAGTCCTCCTTTTCCCTGGTTGGCAAATCAATGATTCTACGTCACAGAAAAGTCTGCCTTCGTATCCTCCGGCTGTGATGTAGGTGTTAAGGCATGGAGGGAACTGTGATTTCAGTCTCTTCGCCCTTGTAATGTAATTTATAGATAATTGAAAGGGGAGAGACCAGTAGCCGAGAGTCTTAGGGGTCATGTGGAGGAAGGAGCCACTGCTGTTTGTGTCAAAATATTACTAGGGAACTAAAGATAAATCTGCAGTTTCTAAGTCAGGTTTAAGGACCCAATTTGGGGCTGAAGGGATGGTGAATTGTAAGAAGTGTGACAAACAGAACGTGCTGATCAAAAACCCTGTGATGATGATGGTGGGGAGTAACTGGCAGTTACTTCCACAGGAGCCTCAAGGGCCAAACCTCCGTACTGAGTTGTTTCATAAGCTAACCCATACGGAAAAGAAATAGTAAAAACTTATATGTGATTTACTCATGAAAGTGGCCACTTTCATGAGTAAATCATTTAAGGCTTACATGATTTACTCATGAAAGTGGCCACTTTCTCAGTACTTTCATACATTGTTTTAGTAAGTATCCAAAACATACAAGTTTCATTATATAATTTTTCAAGGGATCTTATATCTGTTTTCACTCTTGTATGCTTTTCATACAAGTTTCACACAAGACAGATACAAACTTTATAAGATTTATATATATCTTTTCCATATGGGAACTGTCAATTAAATTCAGCACCAGAGTTTAAAATCACTTAAAAAGAAAGAGTGCCAGTGACAGGTTGTTGCATGTGGGGACCTTCGAGTCCAGAAGACACTGCTTACCAGTACCGCCACATTTAGAGGTTGGCACTTTCTTTAGGTTGAATGAGGCAGGTGGCCAAGAAAGGACAGACAGATCGCAATATGTGCAGAGTCACTCCACAAATCTCTGACATCTCCTTTGATGCCGGTCTTGTGTGACCCTGCTGCATTGGCTCCCATGCTACAAGCTAACAGATAAATCCCAATAGCTAAATTGACAAGATGAGAATTTTGAGAATCTTGTATGATCTTGTTGTGATTGTTTTAAGTTTCTGTCTGCTGTTTTTATCTTTGCTTTGTGTTGTTGGCGTTTTGTTCATATCTAAATATTAAGAGAAAGATCACATGTGACTCCTCATTAGGATAGGATTAGTGTAGGTGTATGAGATTTTAACTTCAGTTTGATATTGTTAGATGATATTCCTGAGTAGGGATGGGTATCGTTTAGGTTTTATCCGATATCGGTGCCAAACCGGTACTTTTGAAACGGTGCCGGTGCTTAAACGGTGCTCAAACCGGTGCTTAAAGAATGGAGAACACAAAATTGGTCCAAAAACCTCTCATGTTCAGCTGTTTTTTTTTGTAAAACGATAACAATGTTAGCCTTTTCTGCAGCTATGGGGCATATATGGTATCACTCTTGGCTGGAAGCAGTGCTTAAACAATGGAAAAAACACAAACTTTGTCCAAAAACCTCTCATGTTTAACTGTTTTCCACTTTTTCTTTGGTCATTTTAGCCTTTTTGGCCAGGGTGAAGGGAGTATCTGCCATCAAACAAGAAGTCAGCTGCATGTAACTACGACTGTGTTTGCTAGTTCACCTTATATGCATTAATTTAATAATGTGGTTAGCCTACTCAGCATAAATTACACACGAACAACATTAAGCTACTCACGCAGAGAAGAACGGCTGCTGCTGCCATTATCATCCATCATCATTTTTGCTACACTGGCAGGGCTAGGGGCCAGGACTCTCCTCTTCGGGTGCAGTAGATGCGCTCGGTGTGAGGTCTCGCAGCATGCTATCAAATACGGCGCATTTTTTGGCTTTAAAAAAAACGCTATGCGTCGCCAGGTGTTTCATCGGATTTGAGGTGTTACCTCCTTTGACAGTATCACAGTATCAGCTTAAAGCACTTGTTGCAGGCTGCTGAGTTTGCATATTTTGATGTGAAGTACAGCCAGACTTTTGACCGCTTGCCATCATTATATACCTGCTAGTCCAACTTCTGTAATCCTACAAACGCCACTGCTGTTTAGTTTTCTGTCTTCATTTATGTTGGGAGTGATAGCAGAGCTGTAACATTTTAATTTTTTCAGAAGTCTCTCAGTCAGAACATGGTGTATTATATTTAAATGGAAGCTAGCGAGCTAACTCCCTGCTAACTTCGACTTCAGTTAAATTTCATAAATAATTCAGTTTTCATGGATGCCTGGATGTTAAACTTAATCATTACACCTGGTAAAACAGCAACACTGATCATTTTATTAAAGATGAATCAATTTAGACAGTTTTTAAACTCTCAGTAATGCTGCAGAGATCTTTTGACTTAGGAACCTGCAGCGGAGTTTGGGCCCAGACGCGGCTAATGACGTCAGCCTTAAAGACCGGATAGACAATCAATAAGAGAATTGATAATGAATGGAATCCACGAGTGATATTGATATTGGAATTGGAATAAATTCTTATTAATTTCATTCCCTAGCTAAAGCTACTGAGAACTTTTTTCTGGCACAGACATTGGCAACAACAACAGGGATTGGTTTAGCAAGAGCTAATCTCTATGCAGAAGGAAAAAGATAAACAAAATCCGTATACAATAGATGCACATTGTCTAAAGCAATTTGAGTGCTCAGGTAGGCTTGAAAAGTGCTATATAAGAACCAGTTAATTTACATTATTAATGTCTGAGTTCTAAGCTCACCTGAATAGCAACTGGCATTAACTGATCAGCATTGTTTTTCCAAAGTAGGACAAGCGGGGCCATCAAGAACTGTTTGTTCCCATTGATGGTGTTTGACTCCACTTCATCCAAAATCTTGTAGTCACACAGGAAGATGTTACCCTTCTGTTTGAAATTTCAGAAGGAATGACAAATTATTTGACCCCATGCATTTAGTCTGGGTATTACAACTGCAAAGTAAAATTTGCCAATACAAATACCTCACCAACATACAAATAAGAGCAACCAGATATCAGTCAACTTTATTTAATAGAAATTTAAATTAAATAAACCTCCATTTCTTCTGCCAAATTATGCTGACCATCAGGGAAAACCGTTTCATCCGTGACAGATAAGTTATTGGGCAGTTGTGTACAGCGTTGGATCAAAATGGGATTGGTACCATTTAGAAACTGATAGCCAAAGAATGCATCTTCCTTCCAGTGTTTAGAGACGTATTCTAGAAATAAAACATAATTTTACTTCTCTGTGTTTAAAATGCTTTACAATCCTTCTTAACCACTGTTAATATCATAAAATTTGACCGCAGGCAAAAAACAGGAAAGTAAAATTCATCATGTCATGGACATAAATGCCAGAGTCCTAATAATATGACTTATTCTATGTTACTTTGTGTGCTATTATACATTATATAATATGGTCTAATGATTGTTCATTACCTGAAACCTGAGTTTTGTGGACATTTAATAGTTGTTTAATATCCTCTATACAATTAAACTTGTTAGACTGAAGCATTCCCATCAGTCCCAGCCTTCCCAGTCTAGAAAAAAACACAGTAGCTTTTTCAGATGATTAGAATCATATA